GTCTTGTGAACAAATGTTCTGTATGTGTTTTATGGCCTTATTTCAGTGACTTTAAAATTGTAGTTTTTCACTAAGCACGCATAAACGTTGTTTTCTCAAAAACACAATCACATACATACATGCTGCCCACATATTATTGTAGCCCAGTTTGTGCTGATTATGGTGCTACTAAACTTAGCCATTAAAATGTTTATTAGCAACTGAAAAAAGCACAAATGTCAGGGCATGTCAAAAATTCTCCAGGGCCCCAAAACACCCTCGGACCCCAGAGGGTTAAACACCTTGAAAGATCAAAGACTATTTTTAATATAACTCCGACTGGATTTGTCTGAAAGAAGAAAGTCATATACACCTAGGATGACTTGAGGGTGAGTCATTTATGGGTTAGTTTTCATTTTTGGGTGAACTAACCCTTTAATTGTCCGGCTCCTTGTTCTACTCAAAGCGCTCATTTGTTGGAGTATCTCGTTGCGGATGCTTTTGTGCATCTGTCTGTGTTTGAAGCCGGACTCTAAATATGTGATTGAGGGACGCCGCGTGTGTTTCGCCAACAGTGGGGATTTTTGGACGACTGCGACTGTTTGATTCACTAAGGCACATAGACTGTTTAAAGCCGATACAACGCAGCCAATATCAACGAGTGTGTGTGTTTAAACACCTGACAGTCATGAGAGCTTTGAGAGTGGAGTCATGTTTGTCTCCGCAGTGATTAATAATGCATGCCTTATGTGGATGATGCATAAATACAGTATAGATTTAACCCTGAAAAGCCTGACATATAAAACAATAGTTAGAAGAAAATTTTTTATTTTTTTTAAATGGAACAGAACCTTTAGATAAAATATTTAAAACAAAAAAGTTTGCATATTTTATCCATCAGGTGGCTCATATAGTCTGATACAGTGAGAATATGGAGGAAACAACAGCTCAATTTTATTCAGAGACTCAAACTGAGCAAAAATATGCAAGAATGCAATTCAGGCAGTTTTTCACTGCAGGTTTCCTTTACTGTGTAAACCCTAATTATGCTGATGTTGTTTTTGTCTAATTCAGGAGTTTTTCAATGTTTATTGAAACTTTAGACAAAATATTTTTTAAACACCTTTTGCACATTTTTTTATTTTTATTTTGAGAATCATATTTGATCATCAGGTTTTATGGCTCATCTAGTCTGATATAGTGAGAATATGGAGAAAAAAACTGTTGAATTGTATTCAAACTGAGCATAAATATGAATTTGCTGCAGATGCTGATATTCATATGGTGTAATTCTGATGCTTGTGATGTAAATCAATGAGATATTTATAACAGTGCAACAGATACTGACATAAAGTGATCTAAATATCAGTGGTCGCTCTATATCTGCAGTAATCTGTCTCAGTAAGATGAGAGTGAAATGCTCCAAACATATAATGCAGTGATTGAGAGCTGAAGAAATAAAGGCTCCTCAGAAGATTTGAGATGTTCTGGAGGCTTGTGAAGATCATTCCTCTGCTGAGGAACAGTGAAAGTAAAGCTTCTGGAAACAAACGCTCCTCAAAAGATCCTGATGATCAGATTTGAGACTCACTGATATTTCTACAAAAATAATTGATGGAGAATCAAGTAAAGCTGAGCTGCTTCAGTCCAGTAAGTGTTCATCTGGAGATATTACTGCAGTTATTCTGACGCTTACTTGATAAAAATCAGTCAAGATTTGACACGAGAAGCAGCAGCTGAAGCTGGACGTTTCTACAATTACACTAAAAGAGCTTTTACTGCAACTCTAAACTATCAAACAGACGACATGGAGGAGATTGAGTGTTTAACAACAAAGTTTGATCATTTAAAACTTAGTTTTAAAGGGTTTACAACTAATCACTCAGCCAGCAATAATATTCTTATCTGTAATTTGTTATATTTCATGTCAGTATTTCCATTTAGAACAGTGTGTCATATACGTGAAACCTCAGATACTTTATTAATGCGTTCATGCGTTTAGGCATGTGTGCCAAATATATGTCTTGTGAGCATTGGGAAATGTGGTGTTTTATGCAATTAATGGATTAATGAATGAAGAAATTACATGAAGAAATACAGTAACTCTCTTGATGAGCGAGATTTCTACTTGCATGTTATTGAAGGTCTATGAAAGCACACACACACACACACACACACACACACACACACACACAGTCCATGTGATTAGTATCTGGTTCAGAACACACTGCTCCTCTTGTCTGTGCCAATCCAATCTGACAGTGTGATGCTGCATGTCTGTTCTGACCTGAACATCACGCACCACAGGAATCTCTGCATTAAAGCGCTCAACTCGCTCTGCGCTCAGCTTAAAACACTCACAGGACTCCACAGAAAACACCGGATCTGTCCGTAAGTTTTAACAGCATTAACTAACCCCACAATTTTCTGTATCTTTATTTAGTATTGCCAATAACTTTGTTAAATGGATTGTACTTTTTTTTTTTTTACAAAAATAAAAATAGTTCCAATCAAAGCCACAGCAGAACTGTTGTGAGTCTCCAGTTTTGTTACTGAATGAATGAGTTGATGATTCATTGACTCATTCATAAAGACAGTCACTAGCTTTGTTTCCAAATGAATCAGCTGTTTAAATAAATCAGTTGAGTGAATTATTCAATGTCTCACTCATTAAGACAGTGACTTGCTGCCACCTACTGGCTTTTAGTTCCATATTTAGAGAACAATTTCATAAAAATAAAAAAAAAACAAATAAAATAATAACAAATAAAAATAAAATGTTCCATATTCAATACCCATTTTTTTTATATGTTGAATCAAAATATTTCATTCTAAAGCTACTTTTTTTGTAATGTTCATCTATTTAACACAATAATGACTTTAAATTATCTTTTGGGGGAAACTTTTTAGCCAAAAATACACTTTGTAACATTTTCATCTTGAAAAACATTTTTTTTAAGCAACATGAAGACCACACTGGTCTTGAATTTATTTTGGGTTTTTTTTGGTCAACCTGCCCCTAAACAACATAAAAAAACAAGCCTAACTGTGATCGCTTGCATTACATATCAGCACAGATCGCCTTGTTTTGCTTTCGGCCAAAATGAGACACAATGTGGACCAGATTTTGTACCATTAATCAGTGTGAAACCTTTTGGTTTGTCCATTTCTTCTGTGCTGTAGTGAGAAGAGACAGTGATGTAAAGACGCTATTTCATCCGCTCTTGCTGTCTTCTGGTCAGTGTGGTCATCTTATCATATGTCTCTGTAACAGTAAACCTCTTATAGGCGATCAAATGGATTGATTACTGTAACGTCGCCGCTGGCGCCACACCATACATCACCATGTCCATGTCATGATAATGTCAATATGCACACTGTCTTTTTATTGACAGTTGGCCATGTATGGTTCAATGTTTCTCATTCTCAGATCATGTGATGAAATAAGTTTATAGTGACATATGTCTGAATATGAGTGATGTTTGCGCTCACTACTGATAGAGTAGAGACATTTTCTGTAAAGCTGCTTTGAAAAGGACTAAACAAAGATAAACTTGACTTGACTACTGTGTTTTATTCCTATCTGGAGCACAGATCTGCTCACCATGGTTTACTGCTCACACAGTAAAAACTGATAAATATTATTGTAGGTTAAAATAGCTGTTTTCTATGTGAATATATATATATTAACATGTAATTTATTGTTGTGATTAAAGCTGAATTTTTCAGCATCATTACTCCATTCTTCAATGTCACATGTTCCATCAGAAATCATGCTAATATGCTGATTTGCTGCTCAAGAACTGATGAAAACAGTTGTGCTGCCAAATATTTTTGTGGAAAATGTGCTTCATGGATGCTTCAGGATTCACAGATGAATAGAAAGTTCAAAAGAACAGCATTTAATTGAAGCAGAAATGTTTTGTTACATTATACATGCCTTTACTGTCACTTTTGACCAATTTAATGCATCCTTGATGAATAAAAGCATTAATTTATTTCTTCCTTTTTTAAAAATTAAATCTTAATTACTCCATCACACTTTCCACAAAAATATGAAGAGGCACAAATCAGCATATTAGAATGATTTCTGAAGGATCATGTGACACTGAAGACTGGAGTAATGATGCTGAAAATTCAGCTTCGATCACAGCAATAATTTACAGTTTAACAGATATTCACGTAGAAAACAGCTATTTTAAATTGTAATAATATTTCACAATTTTTACTGTATTTTTTGTATCAATTAAAAGCAGCCTCTGTGACACTTCTTTCAAAAACATTAAAACAATCTTAGTCATTCAAAACCTTTGACCTGTAGTGTGTACAAAGCAGAACATGTATATGAAATACCTTGTATTGTTCTCTTGAAGAAGGCCTTGCAGGCTTCACAGGAGGCCACGCCGTAGTGATACCCCGACGCGATGTCTCCGCACACCAGGCACAGGCGTTTTGGGATGGAGTTGAGCATGTATTCGCACTTGATGGAGCCGGGGTCCTCCAGTAATGTGCTGGAACAGTCCTCGTAGCGTTTGCGGCAGGCGCTCCCTGCCGCACTCAGCGGCCCGCCCGCCGTGAACATGGGCGGAGAGTCCAGGCCGTTGGAGTGGCTGTTGATGAGGCTGGCGTAGCCGCCGCTGGCGTCCGAATGCGCGCCGGGACTAGGGTGGCTGGCCGTGTCCACCAGAGAGGACGGACTGGAGGGCTCTGTCTTGATGTAGGAGCCACAGCTGGACGTCATGTGCCGCTCCTCAGCAGCCATCCTGTTCAGCAGCCTGAAACACACACAGCGGCATGAGGCGGAGGACGCAAATGGATAAGCGCTGTATATTTGTATTGTTTTTACATTACTGCAATCGCATAAGCAAATCAAATCAGGAGAACATCAACATAACATTAAAATTAAATACAGAGTTCTGGCATGAAACTCTAGATGGCGCAGTAACTCAATCTGACATAATGGCATTATTATCACATGGCACAGCTGATTGGTTCTCTCTTGTATCAGTAGCCAATGAGCTCGCTGCTCAACATTCAAATATATACTAGTGCTTCCATCAGAAACCCTCCACCTTCCCCAGCTCCACCTGTATAAATCTGCTATGGGGTGATTGTGTATGCTATATGGGGGGTTATTCCATATATGTTATATTTGCAGCAGCAGTATTTCTTACATGCTCACAGCAGCAGCAGGAGCAGCAACGTAGCAGATCTATTCCGCCAAGACCAAATTCATTAACATTGTCATGTACATTACCATGCCAATTCCATCCTAGAGTAGTCATGACAGAACTGGTTTTACTCAAGCCTAAAATAATATTTAACATCACTGATCCCATATGCATCAATTTATACCAACAAAATACATGTGTATAGTTTAAATCAGGTAGAAATAGTTCTTTAACCCTAATAGCTCTTCCATTTTGATCCAGAAGATATATATGTAAAAAATGAAACTTGGAACATTGCAAATGACCCTCAAAATATACAACATAATTTGTTTGTTTGTTCATTCATTTGTTTGTTCAAGAGATGTAACTATTTAGACAAAAATGTGTACAGGTTTTGTGTTCGGGCCATTTTGGACCCGGTATCATCTGCAAAGTTATATTAATATAAAATAATAATAATAATAATAATCATCATCATAATCTATTTCAGTTTATTAATTAATAAAAAGGGGGTAAATGCAGTAATAGCAGTGACATATAGAAAATTCACAATCACTCTTTATAATTTATAATACGTTTTTATAAGTTTTTATAATACACATTTATAATAAGTTACTGATGATCAGATACAATATGGTTTTAGTTGAAAAATATTAAGTTATGACTGTTTTATAAAATAACGATTCTTCAGGTCCGAAATGGACCCAGAATGCGAAAATAGAATACAGATTTTATTCATTTATATATTATATTATATGATAAATATAATATATAGATACAGTTTTCATTTGAAAACCAGTAAAACATTATGAAAACTGAAAAAAAAAACTGAAATTCCTAAAACTAATTCCACAATATGTTTTTCTTTTCTTTCAATTAAAACAACAGAAACTCTGTATTGTCGCAGAGAGGTTACATAACTGCATTTATTCAGCAACCACAATCGCAAACAATATAGTCAAGACCCATGTTTGGCTTTATTACAGTTCATCAGTGAGGGACTGATTGCAGATTTAGTGTGCAGCAAACAGTGCAAAACGGCATGTGAAAGAAAACAGACTGGCTGAATCACACTTTCATTTGAGCAGAGTATCGCAATAGACTTACATGTTTGTAATGTAGAGAGAGTGTGTGTGAATGGTTGCCATGTTGGGAAGATTAAGTAAACCACTGGGCAGAAAATGTATCGATTTAAGAGAAAAGATCTGATTGATGGATTTAGACTCTTGACATCTGGCAACCCCAAGCAATAAAGATATAGTGGAGGCTTGTTACCAATACAAGATAATGGTAATGTCAAAAGAAAACAATGTTTCCAGGATAAATAACTAGTCCAAAATCACAGGCAATTATGCTTAATCGAGATAAGCAGAAATCATGATTGTGATTAAAATACGATTAATTGTGCAGCCCTAAAAACTGATTCAATTTTGAATATGGTCCTTCAAAATAACAGTTTTAGCACTGCAAGTTCAAAAACCATACAGGGCTCTACAGTGCGACCATTTCAGTTGCATTTGCGAATGAAAACTACTGCGTGCAACTATGAAAACATATTTAGGAGCACCAGTGCGACTGACCAGATCATCATCATACTTGTGATTGTGATCGCTCAGGGGAGCTTCAAAGGTTTCTACGTGTTTTTGCAGCGTTGAGTAATGTATCACAGACATATCTCATGAATCCTTTCATAAGCAAAGTGTAGACAGGGTGTAAATAAGAGATTCATTGCGCAGTGTAGAGAGCTTCGTTGATTATAAATGTGAGCTCGCGATGAGCTATGATGAGTGACAGCTTTTAATGCACAAGCGCTCCTAAAAAGAAAAATAAGCGTAGAGCCCTGCCATATTCAATTTATTTTTCTGCATAAAATGCAAACTTGAGGAAAAAAAGAAAAGAATATAATCTAATGAATCCAATGAATGTAGAACAGTCAAACAGATTCACACACTGTGTTCAAGCGTCAGTGAATAGTGAAGGGTGTGGCATCAAGGATATCTTACATAAACACTAACGTCTCTCACACTTTCAGGACATCTGAATATTTATCTTCATGATTATAGATGTTACGATTGTCGTAGCAAATCAAAACTGTCCAATATTGTCACAAATGGCATATCAATACCAGAGAAATCTGCTGAAAATTATTTGAGGCTGTAAAAATCAAAAGAAAGTTCAACTCCACTTGAAGCTTTTATGTATAATACATTATATAGATTTAATGCATTATAATCGTTTCATAAATAATTGTTACCAAAATAAAACACGTGTGACAATGAATAGATAAATATTATAATGGATTATAACGATGCTTATAATTATTCATGTGATCATACAACATGTGCATTGCATGTCATAATTAATGCATTAAAATACTTTTATAATGCATCACATGTAAATGCTTGTGTTACAGCAAGATTCTGGTGGAATGAATAATTCCATCTTCTGAATACTTCACATTTATAGACATCACAAACATACAGCGAATTGAACACAAGCATTTGAAATAGAAAGAGCCTTACTTATTTGACTCCAGCCTATAGATAATTAACATTGCAGAGTGTAGGTCATGATGGGGTTACACTCAGCTTTTTTAGCTGTGAAGTCCAGGGCCAGGAGTCCAACCTGAGCTTTCCTTGATCCCATACAAATCATGTCGTCAGGCCAAAACTCTGACGAATGACCAGCCCTGCATGTCAGTCTAACCCTTACACTGCCAACTAGGGCTGGGTAAAAATATAGATATCTCGATTTTAAGTGATTCTCATTTTTACAAAACAATATTGAGTCTTAAATCCCAAGATTCTATTAGTCTAGCCTATTTTCAGTTAATGGATGGAACATTGAAGCGCACCTCCCATCCAATATAAACTGTAGAGAGGGGCATTTTGCTAAATACTGTATATGCACCATATAGCATATTCATTATCATTTTTACTGTCAATGTTTAATTTATGTTTTAATAAATTCGTCAAGTTTTTAAGACAGCCACAATTTAAATGTTTATATTTAAAAAACGAATTGAAGTAGAAATCTTATTATGTAATTGTAACTTTATTAGAAAATTTGGCATGTACTGTACCTGATATATATCCAAAATAATCGATATTGAATCGAATCAAATTAAATTGGTAATAGAATTGAATCTCAAGCTTGTGAATGAGAATCGAATAGTGAAATTCGTGTCAAAACCCAGCCCTACTGCCAACCTTATTTTAGTCTTATTTTAGTACTTTTAAGATAGTATTATAGTTTGTATTAATATAATATAATATTCAATATAATTGGATATAATTTATAACTTAAAATATATTAATATAATAAAATATTCATATTTTATTTTTTTATTTTCAGTTTTTATTTTTACTTTAGTTTTAGGATTTTTTTTTTTATTATTATCTTTTTATTTTATTGGATTTTTTATTTTTTTATTTTATTAATTTTCATTTTAGTTTTAGCAGTTATACTAAGTTTTATAACTGCTATAAAACTTTTTTATAGCAGTTTTACTACAGGTTTACTAGTTGAGTATTTTTACTACATGAAAATAAGAAATGATTGAAAACGATCATAATTGGAAAAAAAGACTGAAATTAAAATAAAAATAAACTCCACACTGTAAGCGAGCAGCGTGACTTGGCGAAACTGCATGGCTGCATTTAGATGAAAGAGCAGCGAGAGCGCAGGCCTCCTTTAGACAGTCTGTTTCTCTGACTGATTTAATTGTAAGTGCGGGTGATGCTGGGTTCAAGGCCAGGGGTCAAAGGTCAACCTTATTTTCTCGCCCTGGTTTCTCGTGCCCATGGAGATGGGGTCAGCGTGTCAAATGAAATCTCATTGCAGCGTTTCACTGCCTCTTGTGTCATGTATATTCAACGCTGCGGCAGGTGCCACCACCTCTGGAAATTCATAGAAAGGTTAACGGCTAAAATAAATAATAAAAAATAGCTCCTTGTTAAAACACTGACCTTGTGAAAAAAAGGCCTGTGCCAGAAAGCGTGATGGCTGTGTCCTGAACGCTGCACAGAGACTACAGCCGGATATCAGCGGAAGCTTGCCGAGTGCTACATACGACGCCTTTAGTGAGTAAATACAGCTCGTTAGTCAGTGACTTGATGAAAAACTTCAGCTGAAGTGTAAGAATGATCTGACCGATGTAAGTAACACGCTTATTCAGCTCAGACGTACTAAAGAAAACATGTTTGTGTCAGTGGAAAATTAACCATCAGTTGTTTATCTGGGATATTTTTTGTGGGATATTTATTGCAGTAAAACAACAAAACAAAACAACATCACAATGACTTGTGCTTTTAGTCACAAATATGAAGAAGAAAAAAAAATTACAAAAAAAAAAATTATATATATGTATTAGGGATGTGCGCGACGACTAATTTGACTGACGTTTAAATTAAAGTTTTGTATCCGACTAGTCGACTAGTCTAAAAGCAAGAAACCCCCAAAAGATAGTAAGAAAAAAAACCTAAAATAATGTATTATTTTTCAAATGTTTTATTTTAACTTGTTATTTAAAATATTTTAAATGCAATGTTAAAATGACGGTAATTTGAATGATAAAATCATGTTTTTTTTTCTGTCGTGTAATC